GATTTGATCATGTAACTTACATTACAACGACTCATTGGCATGCAACTTGTTGTACTCACCGGTTGACTGGTCTTAGGCACAAACACTAAATTTGTGTTATTTAGCTTTCTAGGCAGATATTTAGTGTTGAAAAAAAGTGGTTCACCATGAAAACATCACTACTTAGTATTCCCTACTATTGTTAGTAGAAGCTATAAAGCCATTTGGACCTATATCCTTATGGGGGTTCAGTTGTTTCACCACTGAAAACATCACTACTTCTAGGATAGTATTGTTGAAAATTTCAGTAATTTCATCTTTTCTAGAAACTCATTCATCATGAGCATTCTTTATCTACTTAATTGTATTTTTTTTTCTATTTTTCTTATTTGTTGTTTGATGGAAGAATTTGGAGGTGTTCTTGTCTCCATCTTTGAGCGCATACTTCTCTTGACTTCAATCTCCCCGTTTACTCCTTACATAACCAATAATGATATTGTTGTTGTAGGAATTATAGTTGCTCTACTTGTGCCTTTGAGGTTGTGTTCATGTATGAACGGGATATTTGAGCTGATAGCCTTTTAAGATGATCTTGTATACGACCAAAGGTTCTACTATTTCAGTCTCTCAAATTCTTGTAAGTCTTAAGTTTTGGTGATGAGCCAAAAAGCTGGTGAACCTCTAATTTGGTGTTCTCATATATATGCTTGAGATGATTTTTTAACAGTCTCGATGTTCATACTATAAGGGTAAAAATGGAATTGTGGTTTCCTTAAATTTAGTCTCAATTCTATTTCAAGTTTAATAGGCCCGTGATCTGATGATATGATTGAAGCTTTAGGGAAAAGATGTAACCAGCATGAAGTTGTCAAGGCTCTATCTAATCTTTCTAGTACTTTTGAGGAGCCTTGCTGTCCATTTGACTATGTAAATGTGGGACCCACAAAATTGTGGGCACTTAAGCCATTTTAAACTACTTCAGCATCCACCTTTATCTAATATCTGATCTGAATCAATACTAGATTGTTATTGTATTTATCAGTGAAGTTGGTTTGTTGTATTTTAAAGAATAATGGGTTCAAGTTTCAAACAAATTTTTTTTTTAATTCAATTCATGCATGATAGATAATATCAAAATTATTTTAGTTCATCTTATTAATTATAATATAGCATTTTGATCATTTTAATCTACTAATACTATTAAATATCCTGTTGCATATTTGCAAGTCAAATTCAATTTGAATCTGATATAATCCAACGGATAAGATTTCATTTTAATCCAAATATAAAGAATCAAATTTCGACCTAATCTTGCCAAAGGGTGTCAATGGACCAGTCCAACCACACTATAAGATTGGACGGACCAACAATATATATTGGATTGGACCAATCCAGTTCAAAATATTTATTAGATTGGATTGAACCTGAACCATTCATAACAAATTTATATTGGATTGGATAGGATTAAGCCAATATCTAATCCATTGATATAAGATAAAAATATGTGTCAATGGATCGGGTTTGGATTGAAACCAATCTAAATCAAAATGAATTTGAACAGATTAGACAGTCCAGACATTGAACTGGACTGGTCCAAATTGATCCAAAACATTTATTCGATTGGATTCGACCTGGTCCATTTACAATGAATTCACATTGGACTGGATCGGATTGGACCAAATCCAGTCCAATTTACACCCCTATCCTACCCACACCAACCCAAACATCACTATAGCTGTGCATTGAGATCATCTCACATATTTGCATATCATCATTCATGGGGAGATGTTATCAATGTACATATATAATGTCCAAGGTTCAAACTTCAAAATATCAATACAATATGCTTGATACAAAACATATCATATCGTAATAATAGGCATATCGGTTTAAGTATCCATACACCTCTACCACCTTGATATTTTGAACCAGGATAGTGTCATATGGATAGATAGGTGTGGATAGGAGATTTGGATTGACAACACCAGACAACAAGTAGACAAAAAATATTGGCAAGCAGTATCAGTGCTTGTAAGCCGTTAGATCTTGGTCCCTAACTGCAAAGGACCAAGAATCAAGAGAGTGGCCATTTTCTAACCCAACCCGCTAACCCACCCATTAATTAACGGGTTGCATTGTATCCATTTAGTCTGGGTCACTAGCGGGTTGGTTAATCCAATAAAGGACTATTTAATGGGTTGGGTCAACATTACCCAATAACCATAAATTTTATTATTTCAAGTTTTGCTTTTCTCCCTCACCCTCTCTGGGTCAAACACATTTCATTTTAATTTTGCAACTCTTTCTATTTAGCCTATAATCTAACTCATTTTTTTCGTTCGACACCAGCTTCTCTCTTGTTAACTAATCCCATCCGAACATTTAAAAAATTTGAAAACAATAGTTCTTCACTTTTGTTTCTTGGTGCATGTGAGGATCGACAAATTTTCACCATTCCTCTTCCTTTCACTTGACTTTTGATAGAAGATAGACCTGTTAATGGGTCGTGTCATGCCAGGTTTGAACCAAGTTTTACCTCTTTATTAACAGAAAATATTCAGACTTGAGTCCAAGCTAGGAATGGCAATCGGGCGGGGTGGGGACAGAGAGCTTCTCCCCCTCTCCATTCCAGTGAAAATATCCATCCCCGTCCCCGCTAACAGGGACAAGGTTATCCCCATCCCCGTCCCCGTAAGGATCCCCACTCCCTGTAATTTTTTATAATGACAACTATTTTGTTTTTGTTTTTTATTTTATTTAAAAAATAAAAATAAAATAATTAAAATTTACAATCCTATTAGAAAAGATTCAAACATATTTTTAAAAGTATTAATATATACATATATGTGTATATATATACACATAAACATATGCATGCATATACATAAACATATATATTAGTGGGGATCCTATGGGGTAGGAATGCTCTCCCCATCCCCACCTTGTCCTCACCAATGGAGATGAAAATTTTCCTATCTCCATCCACGCGGAGGGAAAATCATCCCCATCCCCACCCCATTCGGGGCGGATCCTCATAGGGATTGGGAAAATGGGGATACATAGGCTCAACCCAGGCTTCTTTGAGATCATGGGCCTAAAATTATGTCCAAACTTAATCAAGAACAAGCTAGGTCAGGCCAACCCGTCAGGCTACCCAACCCATGAACAGGTTTAGGGCATGTCCCTTTCCTCTTAATTCTTATCTCTTAAGAAGAATATTTTAAATTTAAGAGAAAATTGGTTGTTTGTTTCCTCTTATCTCTTAAAGTGCAATCATACAACTTTTTGTTTTTCAATGATACCCCTAAAAAGACAAATAAAAACCCTAATATATGGGATCAAAATGGATATTTGATAATTTGTAGAATTCAAAATTCAAAACAACATTCTTTGTATTCAGAGTTCAAAGAAAAGAAAAGTTTACTAGAGATAATGTAATTATTACAATTTTAAATATCAAACTTCAAAGCAAACATGCTCTTAGGAGCCACTTTCCTTTCAATTACTAGAAACCCTAAGTCCTTCTCATCCATGTCATTGCCATTCATTAACAATAGATTAATTTCTTGCTAGTGCTTTTCTTTAGCTTTGTCATTTTACAGTTTTGCAAATTTTTTCATTTTGTGTCTTTATTTGTATTTTTTATAATATTTTTTTGTTTCCTATAGTTTTTGTTATTTAACTATCTATATTTATAACTTTTGTAATATTTTTTTGTTATATTCTTTATATGTAGGATTAATGGATTGGCCAGGTTGGATTGGGTTATGGTGATTTTGGGTTAACCCAATCAATTCAAATTTTCTTAAATGGATCATTAACGGGTTAGTGGGTCAGATGGCCACCCCTAGATTCAACCAAGCCATTGCAATAATTAATGCAGAAAAGTGACATCCAATGTCCATTAGATCTCCGTAAGCGGTATTCATCATCACACAAGGATTCATAGATGCGTATGATGGGACCTATTTATTGTTCATATGCATAAACTACCTTAAACAATATCCAGACTTAGTTGCTGCCTTATTCAGACTTAGTTGCTGCCTTGGAGTTCAAATCAGTGTCCCACAGGCGCCTCACATGCACATTTCGGCGTGCATTAGGACAGGAGATGTTCCCAGTACACGATTGCGATGTACTATGGGGCGCGTGAGGCACTGAACTTGCTGCCTTGAAGTTGGAGGCTTCAATTCGTTAAGCACGAGAAAGAGATGTTGATGATATAAATCACAGCGCACCTTGATATCTGAAGCTCAACATTCGAGTATTCATCACAATGTTAAGCCAATCCTTGATCATTTCCCATTTAAAGTACCTGAGGTTGGACTTGAATCTCCCCCCTCCCCCTCCAGTCACGTACACACAAACTTCTCAGTGATTATATGCTTATAGAATCTGTATTAAAATCAAAGGCACATGGAATACCAGCAAATATCACATTAATCGACATGGGTTAGGAAAACTGAAAAGAATTCAGCAGGAAACTCATGAACCACAATAATCGACATGGATTAGGAAAACAGAAGATGGTCCCCATATTCCCGTGAAATTCTCATGGTGTTTGGAAGCGTGGGCGCTTTTTGGGACCAATTATCAAAAAAAAATACGTTCATGCTTCCAAGACCCCTTTTTCACAAAAAAAAAGCTTCTGCCACGTGGGTACTGAGCAACGCTATGATGTTTGGTAAGATGATTTTCATCACCAGTTTTCATGTATGTGCTGACAGGTAAGCACCACATAGGATACACATCAATCAACCATTGGGGGAAACGGTTCATTGGCGTTTCATGCATCGGTGGGGTCCCGATTTTCGAGGCATACCAAATTTTTTAATAATCGGCTGAACCAAACAATGAGATACATGGATGTTTGTTGAAACACCTATGTGGATCCGACGTGGCACTGTTTTTTTGAAAAACGGCCACGGTTCCAAACATCCCCTCTGTGAGGGGGAAAAGAGGAGACATAGTTTCTAGTAATATAATATTAAAAGAATAAAATAAGAGATGTAAGCAAAGAAATGAAAAGGTTTGGTTGGTTAAATAGAGGTTTTCGTGCCATAACATTATAAAATAAGTCATTGCAGCTTAAACTGTTGAAAGTGTGTTTTTACATATAAATCCAACCCGCTGAAAAGCCTTAATCATGCAGTAGGTGTGAATCCAGTTGTTGAGGCAGCAAAGATACATGACCAAGATAACCTACAAAGCACCAAGGCCCATATGTATCATTTATTGGTAAGAACCATCGATCAGAGCTAGCATAATTACCAAACATTCATGGCGACTTACTTTGCCTTGTTGATCCTGCTGATGCGTCTAATTTTATCCATCAGTGCAGCAGATGAGCTCACCAGAAATGAAGACCTTCTTGTTGCAATCGGAGAGATGCGGACTGCAAATTATTTCACCTTTGTCATGCTGATTAATATGATCGCACCAGATAGAATACCAGCAAATATCACCTTCCTGATGCCCAATGATCGGGTGCTATCAAAGATCACTCTGCCTGAGAATGCAGTTTTCAACTTCCTATTGAGACACTCAATTCCTTCCCCACTTCTCTTTGATGTCCTAAATCATTTCCCAACTGGCTCAACTATTCCAACCTCCAGCTCAGGTTTCATGCTCAGGATCTCCAACAATGGCAGAAGAAGCTTTTATCTCAACAATGTGCAGCTCATTAGTCCAAATATCTGCACTTCAGGTCATTCAATCAGATGCCATGGCATAAATGGGGTGCTGATGGCAACAGAACCTGACCATAATACAACGCTTCCTCCACCCACTTGCTCTTCTACAAGTCCCCAGATTGTATCCGCACCTACAACTCCATCATGGCCATCACTACCCACACCACCAGCAGATCCCCTGATTACAACACCAACAGCTGCTCCACCAGTTGATTTGGTAGTCAATCCGCAGAGATCAGGCTCTTCTCACTTCTCAATTTCCATAGGCTTAGTCGTCTCAACAACAACCTGTATGATGCTTTCCCTAGAGAGATTCCAGATATCATAGAAATTAGAAAAATCATCTCTAGCAAATGCATTGAAAATATTGGAAAATTCTTGAAGTCACAGATTATCTGATAGCATACCTGATGATAGAATCCATAATCTAGTTTTTTGTTCAAGAAACATGTGAAAAGCGTAAAATCCAGATGCATATCCTCAATTTGCTTCTTCTGCATGGTACAATAAAATCCAGGCATTCTAAATAGCCAAACATTTCTTTCCAATTTGATGGGTTTTAAGCAATTAGATTGACACAACGGATCAAATTTATAAGAAGGTTCCCATTGCAAATTGATCAGACCTATAAGCATAAATATCCACTTAAGCACATAAATCTTCTATAAACTCAGTAGGATTTTCAAAATATCCAAATAGCTCTTCCTAGTTTGAGGCTTAAAGAACATTACTACACTTATCTAGCAAAAACAAAAGCGCACATTACTACACTTGGGGGACATTTGATAACCCATTGTTTGACCAAAAAAAACAAAGTTAACATTTGTGATGGCTGAACTGAATGACTCCTTGCTTTATCTTTTAGTGAATAGGTTATGAAGCAGGTTGTGAGCTCCTTAATGGCTGAAGCTGAGCATCGCTGATTATGGTACCTTAAGAATATTTTATTATTTAATTATTTTATACACTAAAACAAAGCAATAAGTCATTTATATCAGCCACTTCAGCCATTATAGAACAGCCCCTAAAACAAAGCATCAAATCTATAATTTAAGTTCTGAAATTTTCCAATGCAAATTCGTAAGACCTAAAAACTATATCAAGCTACAACACATACAAATCCACTGAAGCACCTAAAAAGTTCTTGCATAAACTGCAAACAAAAAAAATGCTTCTTTTATAAACTTATCAGGTTGTTCCAATGATAAAATATATAAATGGTACAGTTAAGAGACATTTAAAATTTCGAATATGTAAAAGACTTCATAAACAGTACAGTGTACCTAACAGTTTATTATTCTCTATCCTCAGTTATACAGTGCACCACGTAATATAAGTGAAAGGGAAAAATATGAAAATAAGATAGTATCCCAAGAACCCTCCCTATAGAAGTCCAAAACAGGGTTACAGCTCTCTAGATGTCCTTCTAGGGCTTCAACTATTAAAAATTTATCAAAAGCAAAAATATGGAATGATAAGATCATGGTATAAACAACTTTCTGAGACTGGAAAGGTCAACTCTGATTAATTTTAATAAACACACTATGTAGACAAGGAATCTTTGCTGCTAATGGGTTAGGTTATGCTCCCATAAATGGATCTAAAGCAGAGCTGTTGGTCTTAGTGACCACTCTGAACAAGTTCTGTTTGAACTTCTTGTTGATGTTCAACGCTTGAATGTTTGTCAGTCCTGCCAGTTCTTGAATCTTCATGTCTTCTGGGGATTTCCCCAAACCTCTCCTGTAAAGTCCCAGTTTTATGAATATTATCAGACAACATATTTCATGACTGACTATTCATCAAAAAAAAACATATTTCATGACTGACTATTCATCAAAAAAAAAAACATATTTCATGACTAATATCTGCTGTCTGAGAATCAGTTGCATTAGTTGTTTAAAGATTGAATATCAAGATGTGGTAGACATACAGGCAATTGGAACCCTCAGATGTACTGTACTTTTCCATGGACTGGAAATGCCCCAGATTTTGAGAGTTCAAAGGAATGTTAAAGATAAGGAGACAATGGTCATCGCTTATAAGATTTCACTTTTTTGTCCTTTTTGTGTGTTCGGGTGGGGGATTGCCTGCATGTGTGCCACTTATTCTTCTTTATGGTGATTATGTTCTTTCTCTATATACTGAATCTTCCTTAAAATAGGGAAGCATAAATAAATAAATAAAATGTGAATTAAAGAAAATTAAATTTCAAGATCATGCATCACCTTCATAGAAGCATTCCGAGAAAGAAGCTCTTCATACTCGCTCCTGATACGAGTCACTTCTGATCTAAGGGTGGCATTCTCTTCAGTTAGAACTTCAACTCGTTGGGCTAGCTCTTCGCATTCCGCCTAAAACTCACAATTAGACATGGTAGTCAAAATAATCACATACGAAGGCACCACAAAGTTCACTGATGGGAAATCAGGAACAAAAGATTAGGAGGAAAGTTCACACCTGCTTACGCAACCTGGAACGACGGGCTGATTCCCTATTAGACTGCTTTCTTCTCTGCCTTTTCAGTTCTCTCTCATCCTGCATCCAGCAAACAAGTTGCATCAGCCAATAATGATAGTACTGATGCACACAGAAAGATCAAAACAATGCTATGCATCTAAACATGCACTTAAACCAGATAAGAAGAATAACCACATCAAATTACAACATATGATCATGTATCAATGCAGGGATGACAATGAAGCGGGTTAAATGGGTGATCTGCCGAGAACCATCCTTAGGCTCAAGATGGTCATGATACCAAGTTCAGCTGAGCCTGACCCTCAAATCATTATAGATGTAGAACAAGGAGAAAAATCAAACTAGTAGAACTAGATAAGAAGGAATAGGTCTGAATGTAGAACAAGAAGGAGAAAAGTCAAACTAGTACAACTAGATAAGAAGGAATTGATCTGCTATGGGAAAGAAAGGGAAAATAGAAGGGTTAAATATCTGAAATATAGGGAAAAGAAGATTAAACCTTTAGTAGAGAAAGAGGGGAACAATGTTAAGAGATATTTGGAGTGATGCAAGATATGCCCTAGATTCTTTCTACAGGCTGAGGTCTAAACTAAAGATACCTTTCTTTTTTTGTTTTTTTTTTCGGTAAAGAGGTCTAAAGAGACCTTGGTTAATCAATCTTTTAGAAAAGAGTTAGCAGATTGCATGGTTTTCAAAACCAGACCGGACTGGACAGTCGGACCGGAAAAACTGGGACCGGTCAGGTGACTGGTTCTGTTTTTTGCCAAAACCGGATTTTGGCCAAAAACGTTGATTTGGTCAGGCGGTTGAACCATTCGAATCGTTCAACAGTTCTGACCGTTTTTTATTATTTTTATTTTTTTTGTCAGGACGCGTTCTACCCAGGAACCAGACCCCTGACCAGTTCGTTCCCCAGGTCGGTTTTAAAAACCTTGGCAGATTGTTTGGTGCTCAACCTTTAGAAAGATGATTCTGAATACAGAAATAAAGGAATGGATTGCACTTTTCAATCGGTCTCTTGCCTCCATTTCAAATACTTCAAAATTTTAAAACTAAATTCAAAAGCATCATACTAAAGAGTATGATTTCTCTGGGCCAACACACATCTCAATTGGTCATGCAATACAAGGACCAAGTAAACTGTGGCCAGAGTTACAATTCAGTGCTTCAAATACAGTTTACTTGGTCCTTGTATGTTTCAAATCTCATGCTGAAGAGCTTTGTATGTTTCAAATAGATAATGGGGGTAGCAATTTTCTGTGGTTTCCTTTAACTGTTGCTCAAGCTAGGGCCCACCTTTAAGATAGTCTGCTCAACAAATTAGTGGCAGATTAATGCCATTTATAGAATCTTTTTGCTTGATTTTTATCATTATGATTGGAAAATTACTATAAACTATAATTTATCAAAAAAAAAGTTTGGGATAGGATAAGAGGCTCACTACCCATTTCCACACTATGGACTACAAGATAGATAGATAGATATATAGCCCTTTTTCCAAGTTCATAAAATAAAGGATGCAATGGTTTCAACCAATATGCAGGGGGTGAAGGCGGAAATAGAGATTAAAGGGGAAGGACAAAGAAATGTAAGCACTTCTCTAGATTTTGGACTGTGAATATGATTCAGATAAACAGCCCATCAGCCAAAATGGAAATGGAACTCCTTTGAAGGAAGCTCAGAAGGAGGCCCCCCCTCTCTAACTTGGAAGGATGAGATCATTTCTGCTAGTCCATTGTGACCTGAGGTGCTAATTGTGTAACCACTTGGCATGTGTAAAGGAGCAATTATCACAGGGTTATCAGAAGGGCCAGGTTTCAAGCAATGTTCAGACTTCAGATAACCAGACCGGGCATCGACCCGGAAAAGGGAGAGGTTCACGGGTTAGAGGTTCAACCAGGGTCAAGTTGGTGGTCGAACCGTGGGACAAGGCACGGTTATGGCCTTGTCCCCATATTTTATTCTTCCATAAAATATATTTTTATTTTAGATTTAACTTTTTATATCAAAAACTAAGATTCGAGGACAAAAAAGCATTTTTTAGAAAAAATAGTGGGACAAGGCACCTATGGATCCCTAGGAACACCTACATCTCAAATGTAACCCAAAATAAAAATAAAAAAAAAAAAAAAAAAAAAAAAAAAACAAGATCACCCCAACCGGACATCTGAACGCAAAGTTATGACCTCTAGAAGTTTGCATTTATGTGCTAAAAAAATTTCAAAAAGACGGGTGGTTTTCTAAAACCAGGACCAGTTCACCAGTTTTCCGGTTCGACCAGCCAGGTTGGTGGTTTTGGCCTTTTTTTTACCCAATCCGGTTTTGGGGGTATGACCAAACCAGCCAGGGGCCCAGGTAACAGTTCAACGGGTCCAACCGGCCAGTCCAATGCAGTTTTCTAAACGCTGGTTTCAAGTGAGCAGGTGAGGGGTGGAAGATACAATCAAGATGCCAGGGCTCCTGACCTAACTGAGATTGGGGTTGGATGGAGAAAAAAGTGAAACATGTGAACCAAATTTAAAAAAAAAAAAATCAACTCAAGCTCAAATCATACATTTTGTACTAGGAGATTGCAGACATGCAAAATATTAACAGAGACCATTCAAATACTGAATTTAGAAAATCCATTGTTTAAGGAAAACCTGAATCCAAAGCTCTGATTGAACACCCTCACGAGACCCAACAACACCGGTCGGAACTATTCCTCCTGCAACTGGTGCAGAAGGGACCTTCCCACATAGTGCAGGGATAGAAGATGGAGCAGCCCAGTAATCCATCCCAATATTTAAGTTTGTAGTTGGACCAGCAACACCTCCAGGAGCCCCTGCTGTTGGCATTGGCATGATAACCACTGCTTGGTTTAACATTGCATTTGGCAGTGGACGAGGTACGCCATTGACAGGAGTATTTACTGCATTGCCATTCTGAGAGGCTTCACCTGTAACTCATTCATTATAATATATTCCCCTTTAATAATAAGAATCGCTGTTAAAATATTGCTCACAATGGAAAAGAACTTCATCTCTACCTTCCACAGAATCCTGCCCACTAGCCTTCTGTTGTGAATCCTGAACAAAATCAATAATGTTACAGATATGACATGAAAGGAAAATGGAAAGAATCACAGAAATGAATATTATAAAAAGCATGATAGGGTACTCAAAATGCAGCAATGAATGGATCTAGACTATTCAGGTAGTTGGTTATTGGTGGGATTGTTGATGGCTATAAGTATGTAGCTGTTGAAGTTCCATTTATTTTTATCTTGGTTGGACAACTAGGATTCCCACCATTTTGACTTGCAGCAAGTCCAGATTTACCCGATCAAAATTTCAATTCAGCAGCTACCATGGCTTAGGTATTCCTTGGCAAGCCCAATTTAGTTGGTAACTTGGGTTGTTATGCATGGTAAGTAAACCAACCAGTATTTAGAGAAGATATATAATTGGAATGGAAAAACAGGATTCATGTAGCCAACCCCATAAAGTTGGGATAAGGCTTGGATGATGATGACAATGACATAATTGGTGATGATATTGCCCCACATATAGGAATGATATGGTGGGTGTTTGGCATCGATGCCGTTTTCTGAGAAAATGG